AGAATTCAACGAAAAAAAAAAGACCGTGCAAAGACAGCAGCATTTATTCATTCAGCAAACATTCCCTGAGTGCCTGTCACATGCTGTGACTGTCCCGGTGCTGCTAGTGACATAGGGATGAGCCAAATGTCATTGCCCACAGAGCTTCTCCTCTGCTTAGAGAGAGAAATCTCAGGCAGCACCCCCTACAGGAGGAAAGGCAAGTGGACTCTACTCTGCAAGATTAACGGAGAATGGCCACCTGCAGGGCTATGTTGAGGCCTCTGAGGCCACAGGTGGGTCTTGGCTTCTCATTGTAAATGAGGGCAATAACAATGCCACTTCACAAAGTTTATGAGATTTGAAGCGATGATGCAGCTAAGCATGTGGGATGGTGCTTGGCCCAGGCTAGGGCTAAAGAGCAGAGCTGAATCCTATCTGCTGGGTCCTTCTGTCTTGTCCACGGCTGCATGTCCCTGATGCCCCTGCAGGCAGTGACTCCCTTGCTGAGAGACTCTGTGTGCCCCTTCTGCGCCCAGCACGGCAGGTCCTGCCGAGACTGGGGGGGCAAGATGTGTCCTGAACTCTTGGATGGGCAGAGGAGGCCTGGCCACACCCAGCAGGCGGGCCTTGATTCCGCGGGCTGGTCCCTTCTCCTCCACCCACCTCCCTGGAGAGAGGAGAGACCGACCAGCCTGGGTATCACTCACTCCTCGGTCACAGGAATTGAACTCGCAAGTCTGGTGTGCCACCCCCTTCCATGGCTCCCTAGGCTCTAGGGTACAGCGCCACTGTTTCTCAGCCACAAGGCCTCCTGGTCTCTGCTCACTCTAGGACCCTGCTCTGTTTCACCTCTGAGCCTCTGCACAAGCTGTTCCCTCTGCCTGCACTCCTTTCTCTCACTCTTCACTCTTTCTTTGGTTCTCAGCTATCATTTCCTCTCTGCTGCTTTCATTTCCCCCATCCTAGCATTCACCTCTCCAGGCTGTCATTGCCTGACACGTACCTCTAGTCCCCACTGGACCGTGAGTGTGAGGGCAGGAACTCTGACTTGGCCAAAGGGGATACCCAGAGGTTCAAGAGGAGCCTTTTTTGACAAACACAGACCAAATGGGGCTCAGAATGTTGGGGTGGTGCCCAGGTGTCTCCATTTTTAACGAGCTCCTTGTCTGATGACCTCTGACCTAGGGTCTAGTATGGTGTCTGGCACAGCCCTGAGTAAGTGCACGGTGTTCGTTGAGTGACTGCATGATTTTTGCCCATATAATAAGGCCACAGGCTGACCTGGGTACAGCTTCCCTAGGACAAATAAGACACAAGTTCTGCTTGCTAGGCAGAACCCAGACAGGAATAAAACCCAAGTCCTCTAAGAGGTTCAGTTGTTGGAGCTCCTGGTGAATTATCGGGGCCGCGCCCCTACCTCCGAGGGGACGCTGTCCTCCGAGTCCGAGCTGTCCTCGTAGACGCTGCCGCCGCCCGCCTCCAGGTTCATCTGCAGCAGCTGGTCGATGGTGGCGTCCACGGCGCCGCTGTTGGCGCGCAGCACGCACTCAATGATGTCGTAATCCATGTTGGGGAACATGGTCTTGAAGTCGTCCATGGCCTGGTTG